AGTAAGCATATCCTGTCCCACTGAGGCACAACAAGGCAGGCAGTCTAGCTAGTGGAAGGGAATCCAAAGGCAATTAACAGAGTCAGATACAGCCCTACTCCAATTGTTAGGAGAACCACATAGAGACTACACTGCTTATCTGTTACAAATGTGTAGAGGACCTACCTAGAGTCAGTCCATGCATGTTCTTTGGTTGGTGGTTCAGTCTCTGTGAGCCCCCATGGGCCCATGTTAGCTGATCTTGTGGTGTCTTTGACTCCTCCAGCTTCCTCAATCCTTTCCCCATTCTTCCACAAGACTCCCCAAGCTCTGCCTACTGTTTGGCTGTAGGTCTCTACATCTGTTTCCATCTGCTACCGGATGAAGCCTTGTTGAGTCCTACTTAGCCATGTGGAAGGGACAGCATAAGATAGTTTCCTGCCCCTGGAACAGAGCCAGCAGGACATTTGCCTCCATGAGTGTTGATGGTTACTGATCATGACATTTATTTGTATAAAAATATGTATACTGTACTTCATGTTTCTCCCTGCCAAGGTTAATGAGAAATATTCTCCCTGCAAAGGTTATAGAAGAATACCCTCTCTGCCAAGGTTTATGACTCCATGATAATCAAAGACAGCATGAGTCAGGGGTCAAGGATATGGCTAATGTCTCAGCAAAATGTAAACACTGACCTTCAGGACAGCCCTTAAGGCTGTAGAAAAAACTCTGAAAACATGAGTTCAAAAATACATAATTTCTCAACTATGCAAAATATAAGGATACAATATGAATTGTACAAGGAGCTTCACAGACCTAAGAGCAGAGGCAGCTATACTGTGAGCCATCTTGTCAGAAAGATATAAAAGCAGGCAGATACAAAGGCAGGCAGATTCCTGAGTTCAAGGCCAGCCTGGGACAGAGCGAGGTTAGGTCCAGCTGTGATAGCAATGGCTGTCGGTCTCAGAGTGAGAGACCACCCAGCTAGCTTATTATCTGTGCTTACAAAGGCAGGCAGATTTCTGAATTTATTTGCAATGTTAAAAAAAAAAAGAAAAAGAAAAAAATTTCCTGTCTTTTTCTAAGAATCTGGGAGCTGGGGTCATGGAATGTTGATTCGTGAGAAAATCAAAGGGAACCTGGAATAAAAAACTGAATTGATATGTAAATAAAAGACTGGACCTTGGTCTGCAAGAGCTGAGCTGTATGGATGAGCTGTCTGGATATCTCCAGAGAAAACTGTCTCAAGCAGAACATGGGCCATCAGCTTGTACCCATGATTTGACTTTAAAGTCATTGTTTTGCCACTCTCTAACACCCCTTCCTCAGAATCCCTCTCCAAGCAGAGCCTGGTCCTTGGCAAAGCCTCATAAGAGACAGTCATCCTAGACTCCTGTCTGCAAGCATAGCATAGTATCATTAATAATGTCAGAGGCTGACTCTCTCCCATGGGATGGGTCTTAAGTTGGTTACCCATTCCCTCAATCTCTGTTGCATCTTTATCCCTGCACATAAAATAGGCAAACAAATTTTGGTCAAAGGTTTTGTGGGTGGGTTGGTGTCCTCACCTCCTTCCACTAGAAGTCCCAACTAGCTATAGGAGGTGGCATTTCAGTCTCCATATAGGACTGTCAACTAGTGTCACCCCCATAGACTCCTGGGAGCCTCCCTGTCCTAGGTCTCCAGCTTGTCCCAGAGATACTCCACCATCAATTTCCATTTTCTTTCCCAGCCCACTCCCACCCCCTCCCTAGATGTGATCCTCACCCCTCTCCCATCCAGTTCCCTTCTTTCATCCACCTCCAATGGCCATTTTATTTCCCCTTCTGAGTGAAGATTCAAGAATCTTCCCTTGAGCCCTCCTTGTTACTTAGCTTCTTTGAGTCTGTGAATTGTAGCACATTTAACCTGTACTTCATAGCTAATGTCCACTCACAAGTGATTACATACCATGTGTGTCTTTCTCGATGTGGGTTACCTCACTCAGGATAATATTTTCTAGTTCTATCTATTTGCCTGCAGATCTCATAATGTCTTTGTTTTTAATAGCTGAGTAGTATTCCATTGTGTAAATGTTATCACATTTTTTTTATCCATTCTTCAGCTGAAAGACACCTAGGTTGTTTCCAGTTTCTAGGCACTATGAATATAAAGCTGGTATGAACATAGTTGAATATGTGTCCTTGTGATATGGTGGAGCATCTTTTGGTATATGCCCAGGAGTGGTATATCTGGGTCTAGAGGTAGAACTATTCCCAATTTTCTGAGAAACTGTCAAATTGATTTCCAAAGTGGTTGTACAAGTTTGCACTACACCAGCAATGGAGGAGTGTTCCTCCTGCTCCACACATCCTCACTAGCATGTGCTATCACTTGAATTTTTGATCTTGTCCATTCTAAAGGGTGTAAGATGGACTCTTAGAGTCATTTTGACTTGCATTTCCGTGATGACTAAGGACACTGAACATTTCTTTAAGTGCTTCTTGGCCATTCAAGATTCCTCTGTTGAGGATTCTGTTTAGATCTGTACCCTACTTTTTAATTGGGTTATTTCATTTGATGGTGTCTAATTTCTAGAGTTCATTATATATTTTAGATATTAGCCCTCTGTCAGATGTAGGGCTGGTGAAGATCTTTTCCCAATCTGTATGCTGCCATTTTGTCCTACTGATGGTGTCCCTTGCCTTACAGAAGCTTTTCAGTTTCATGAGGTCCCTCTTATTAATTGTTGATCTTAGTACTTGAGCTACTGGTGCTCTGTTCAGGAAGTTGTCTCCTGTGCCAATGCATTCAAAGCAGTTCCTCACTTTCTGTTCTATTAGATTTGATGTACCTGGTTTTATGTTGAGGTCTTTGATCCACTTAAACTTGAGTGTTGTGCAGGGTAATAGATACACATCTATACGCATTCTTCTACATGCAAACATCCAGTTAGACCAGCACCATTTGTTAAAGGTGCTTTCTTTTGTCCATTGTATAGTTTGGGCTTCTTTGTCAAAAATCAATTGTCCATAGGTGTGTGGGTTTATATATGGCTCTTTGATTCTATTCCACAGATCAACCTGTCAGTTTTTATATTAATACCATATGGCTTTTATTACTACCTCTGTAGTACATCTTGACATTAGGGATAGTAATACCTCCAGTAGTCCTTTTATTGTATAGGATTGCAAGATGTTCCAAGACAAAACCAAATTTAAACAATATCTATCCACAAATCCAGCCCTACAACAGACACTAGAAGGAAAGCTCCAACCCAAAGAGGCTAACTACACCCAAGAAAACACAGGAAATAACCCCACACCAACAAACCAAACAAAAGGAAGTGTGAGCCCACAAGAGCATGAACACACATGCACACATGCACGCACACACGTGCATACACACACACAAAACCACCACTAACATCAAAATAACAGAAATTAATAATCGCTGATCATTAATATCTCTCAACATCAATGGACTCAATTCCCCCCCCCCAAAAAAAGACACAAGCTAACAGGATGAATGCAAAAAGAGGATCCAATACTCTGCTGCATACAAGAAACACACCTTAGCAACTAATAGATATTACCTCAGAATAAAAGGCTAGGTTTTTCAAGCAAATGGATCCCAAGAAACAAGCTGGAATAGCCATTCTAATATCTAATAAAATAGACTTTTCAGCCAAAATAAATCAAGAGAGATAATGAAGGACATTTTCTACCCATTAAAGAAAAAAATCTACCAAGATTACATCTCAAATCTAAATATCTATGCCCCAAATGCAAGGGCGCACACATTCAATAAAGAAACAATACGAAGGCTTAAATCATACTTTGAACCACATACATTAATAGTGGGAGACTTCAACACCCCACTCTCACCAATGGATAAGTCATCAAGACAAAAACTAAGCAGAGAAATAATGAAACAGAGGTTATGAATCAAATGGACCTAACAGATATCTATAAAATATTTCACCCAAACACAAAAGAATATACCTTGTTCTTAGCACCTCCTAGAACCTTCTCCAAAATTGACCATACAGTCCAGTCAGAAAGCCACCAGCAACAGATACAAGAAAATTGAAATAATCCCTTGTATCTTATCAAACCACCATGGATTAAAGCTGGACTTCAACCACAGAAATAACAGAAAACCTACACACTCATGGAAACTGAACAACTCTCTATTGAATGATCACTAGGCTCAGGGAAGAAAAAAGAAAAAAATGAAAAACTTTCTAGAATTCAATGATAATAAAGGCATAACATACCCAAAATATGGGACATAATAAAAGCAGTGATAAGAGGAAAGTCCATAGCATTAAGTACCTTCACAAAGAAACTGGAGGTCTCATACACCAACTTTTTAAAAAGCACATCTGAAAGCTCTAGAACAAAAAGAAGCAAACAGACACAAAAGAAGTAGATGGGAGAAAATAATCAAACTCGGGACTGAAATCAATCAATTGAATGATTCTTTTAAAAAGTGTGCATTATATAAGATGTGTCAAAATAAATAGGCAAAATATAAGTTAAGTATGTCTTAATGGAGATCATATAGGCATTTATTTCTCTATTCTTAAAATTTTCTAGTTTTACAAAGCAATATTAAAATTTCTTTAATTCCAATAGCTCCTCATCTTAGAATAGATTAAAACTCTTGACCACTCACTCACTCTTATGAGACACTCTACTGCAGCACATAGAATTTCTTATATTCCTGGCCAGGTGTGCTCCCTCTTACGAATCTGCTTTTCTGTTTTCTTGGTGTGCATTTTCAAAGAAATGCCTACATGGCTCATTTTTTTACATCCTTCAAGCCATCATATTAAACTAGAAGACAAAAGATAGGTTCCAGTATCTGACATCATCAGAAAATATGTGAAAGAGCTACCAAAGACTGAAAGAACTACCAAAAAAAAGAAAACATAACCTAACAAAGCTTTGAAATAGTCTCATCATTTTCTTGTCTGTTCTCATTACTAGGGACGTAAATAAAAATCAGACAGAGTAGTTTCTTCATTAGCAGTTTACCTGTTTCGAGCAGGAGACTTCCCAGCATCCTCTTGAACAGATACAAGTCTTGATGAAAGAGCACTATTTGAGGAATCCGGATGAATCAAACTATAAAGAAAATTAAAATGTCGGGGTCATTTGGGGCTATAATAAGTGCTTTAAACATTTAAAAGCAAAATTTTTTCCATACAATAATAAGATTATATGCAGTTCATGCTCATCCTTATATTATTTGAGGCAAAAAGTGCAGTTTCTCTGGGCACACCCTTAATTTCAACACCAGGAGGCAGAGGCAGATGGATCTCTCTGAGTTCAAGGCCAGCCTGGTCCACTCCAGGGCAACTAGGGCTACACAGAAAAACCCTCTCTGAAAAACCAAACAAAGAAACAAACAAACAGAAATATAGTTTCATCTCTAGGATATTAAATATCAAAAAAATGATAATGTTTTATGTGTGCTAAAAGTCAATAAATCTGCAAATTTGGCATTTGGATGGATAGGTGATTTATAAAACTCATTTCCAAGATGAAAGTAAAAAAATAAATAAATAAGACAAACGAAAACAAAACTCTGTATTCAAAAATTCTGTTCCTGCAAGCCACAAGAAGAGCAGCAAAAGCAGCAAAGAGTCAGACCAAGGTCCAAGTACAGCTCTCTCTCTCTTACTGGCTGTGTGATCTCAGGTTTATTAATCTTTCCAAACTTTACCACCCACATCTGTCAAAAAAGAAAATATTTCCTACCAAAAAGAAGTGATGACTTAATGGAATACGTAACTGTTAACACAGAGCCTAAGACTGAATTAGTACTCTATCTCTGAAGACCATCTTCTGTCTCTCATATGTTTTATTAAATCATACTTGTCAACTCTGAGTTCAGACAACTGGATCACACAAATAAAAAGCACTGCTAACTAAAATAATAAAAAACTGAAAAAATCTAATTTTCATATTTTTGAAGTAAATACAGAATCACTTAAGTAATAAAATGTAATATACATATATATGTGTATACACACACACACACACACAGACACACACACACACACACACACTATGTATAACTATGGTGCTACAAAGGAGCCATAAAGCAACTTAAGAAAAAACTCCACTACCACCATCTTCAAATGCCTGTGTTCCCCTACCCAGTACCATCCTTTTCCCAAATCCCAAGGAAATCATTATTATAAATTTTATGTTTATCACTGTTATGATTAATCTTAGCTGCCAATGACCACTGAAATATCTCCAGGCATGTCTATGAAGGATTATCTAGATTAGGCTGACTGAGGTGAAAGACCCATGTAAATATGGGCAGTACTGGCTAATGCACTGGGATGCCATTACTGAATAACAGGGGAAATGGAACTGAGCACAGGTATTCACAGCTCTCTCATTTCTTGCCTATGGACACAGGATGACTAGCATCCTGCTCTTGCTGCCAGCCCTCCTCTGCCATGATAGACTGTATTCCCTTAAACTTTAAGTCTTCAAGGTGTTTCTGTTAGGCATCCTGTTATAGCAACAAGACATGTAACTAATAATTACCACATTTGTATCCCTGGGCATTAATCTCATTTATATATTTCTGAGCATTATAGAACTAGAATCCAAGTGCATATATGATTTGTGACTTTCTTTTCTATGCCCCTGGGTTCATATATACTGAATGTAGTTAAAATTTATTTCATTCTTTTTAAATATACAATATACTTATTCTTCTCTTTGTTAAGAAGTAACTAAGAAAATTACTCACCAGAAAAACATTAGTTAAACTGTGTGTGGTTGCCGGGCAGTGGTGACACATGCCTTTAATCCCAGCACTTGGGAGGCAGAGACAGGCAGATTTCTGAGTTCGAGGCCAGCCTGGTCTACAGAGTGAGTTCCAGGACAGCCAGGGCTACACAGAGAAACCCTGTCTCGAAAAACCAAAAAAAAAAAAACTGTGTGTGGTAGCACAAGCCTTTATTCCAACATTTGAGAGGCAGAGGCAAGTGGATCTCTGAGTTAAGAGGCCAGCCTACTCTACATAGTGAGTTCCAGGACACTCAGGACTATATAGAGAGACCCTGTCTCAGTCTCAAAAAATAAAACAAAAAAAAGAATAGTTAAAATTCTAAGTTCAATAGAAATTATATTTAAGATTATTCCACTAACGAAAATTTCAGAAACTTATGAACCTAATATTCTAATATAAACAATTCTAGTTAACTTGTAAAGAGATGTATATATCTACAATCTACCAGCAAAGCATCTTCAGACATAAACACATCAAAAACTCCTTTAGAAGGAAAGAAAAAAATCTAAGTGAAATTGCAAACAAATTCAGATTTTAGAGGAATGCACTTTTTTTTTTTTTTTTTTTTTTTTTGGTTTTTCAAGACAGGGTTTCTCTGTGTAGCCCTGGCTGTCCTGGAACTCACTCTGTAGACCAGGCTGGCCTCGAACTCAGAAATCCGCCTGTCTCTGCCTCCCAAATGCTGGGATTAAAGGCGTGCGCCACCACCGCCTGGCGCACTCTTTCTCAAAGAAGAGTACACTAGGACTATTAGTATCAGTGACTTGTTCCTAGTCAACAAATACTGCAAGGATCATGCATATGCCAAGCACTTGTTCTTGCTTTCAAAAGGAGAATAGTAAGTAAGAAAGGTGTGAAAACTCTCTTCTTACACACTTATATCTGAATGTTAATATAACCACCATCCATAAACACCCATGATTCTTCTCTACATGAACTGGAAAAAGACAGTAAATTTGCAGATAACAAAAAGAAATGTTAATGAAAAAGAAGGTCACAGGGCTAAGCATTTCTCAAGTTGAAATCAAATTACATTCACGTTACAGTACCTTTGCCAGGCTAAATCATCCTCTAAGAATATGTTACGACTGGCTTTTCTACTCCCAACAGGTGTCCGAGGTTCGCTTGGATCAAGTATAGACACAGAGCAAGTTGAATCTGAAAGAGCATTCAAGTCTTCCCCAATGGAATTACTGTCTGTGGAATGAGCATAACTTAAGGCTATTTTTCTACAGTATGTGCATGCTCGGAGGTCTCCTAGGAAGAAAGTAATAGGGAAATATATTACTTAATGAAATACTTTAAAACTGTGTTAATATGTACTTTAATAAAAGGATTATCTTCAAGTAAAAGCTATCAAAAAGACATTTTAAATAAGTGAAATACTTGGCTCTGATTTGCATGTTAGATTATTACAAAAAATTCATCCAAACATTCCTACTACTTGGAATATCTGTAATAGATTAAAAAAAAAAAAAAGACCCAGTAATAGTAACATAAAGCCATGACTGTAAGAGTATTTTTTTCAAAATTGTTTTCATGCAATGAGGGATCTATCAGAGTTGATGGATCCTATTACAGGAACCTGTTTCTCATTAGGGTATGGCTCAACCTTTAGCATACATCTTTAATCCCTCTAGCTGGAATACAGACACAGCTTTAGTATTTACCTTTAATCCCAAACAATGAAGGTAAATTTAGTTTGTAGAAGGAAGCACCCATGTTTGAAAGTGATGACTGAGTGGCAGACAAAGTGACAAATCAGAAAAAGATTTGACAGAATAGGATATGCCCAACTCTCATGAGAAGAGAGATGAAAGGGAAGCTACTTAAGGGTGAGACAGACAGAACAGGAGGAAGAGGGTACAGTACAGGAAAACAGTAGAGTTCGTGAGAGAGAGAGAGAGAGAGAGAGAGAGAGAAGGAGGCAGTTTTACTGTGAGTTTTATAGAGACGGACTGAAGAGAAAACAAACTAGACACAGGGAAAGACAGATCAAGCAAGAAATGAGAAGGAGCCGAAGATTAGAAAAGATTGCTATTTAGTTTGAGGCCAAGCAGAGCAATTCAGAGGCAGAGAGAAAGGTCAGATTGAGTAAATCAGCTGAAAGATGAGTTTGACCCAGAACAGCTGAGTTGAACCAGCCAGTCAGAGTTCAGAAAGAACTAGGAAAGGGTGAACTAGGTCAGAAGCAAGTGTCAGAGGTTGAAAACATTCTAGGGCTCGCTAAGATTGTACAGAGGCTAGAAGCGCCTAGGCCTAGGCCTAGGTGAGCAGACAGAGGCAGTACGCCTCACAGACAACAGTCACAATCAGAAAACAAAAGTCACTTTTACAAGATCCCTCTTCCAATGAAAAAAGATGTCCATATACTAAATAACCAACACAACAGAAGCAATTTGTCTTCCCTAGGCAACAAATAGGGAGAAAATAATAATAAGGTCTCTATAATGAAGCCCTAAAGAATGATCTCCAGAATAGTGCATTTAAAAAACTCTTGAAAATTACATAGATGAGTACTGTATTTGTATCAGTTCCAAGTCTCCCTTCCCCACTTCATCCCATGTCCCCCAGCTCCTTCAGGTTTATGAGCTCTTCTTTAATTGTTCACACACACACACACACACACACAGAGCCCGATGTAGTTGGTATGGCTCATATGTGTTTAGAACTGAACATTTGGACTAGGGCTTGGATAACCTATCACAGGCCTGTCTCTGGAAAAGACTGATTCCCGCTCTCTCAGCAGCCATGTAGCTCTTTGTCCAGGCACAGGGTCTTGTAGGATTTCCTCTATCTGCCAGAAGTACAATTTTTAAAACTAATGGAAAATGGTCTTCCATACAATATGATATATAGGAATAAAACTAAAAGAAATTTTCATAGTAAAATAAAAATGAAATGTTTTAAGAGTGTGGCACAGTGATAGAGTGCTTGCCTAGAATGCATGAGGCCCTGACTTCAATCCATAACACCACAGAAATAGTTCAGAGGAGAACAAACAGGGTTTCTTAATACTTCTAAACCTATTTTTTAGGATACAATCCTGTCCTAAAATAAGTTTCATTTCTACCTTATTTTTATAAAACACTGCTTAGTGTGACTCCATAACAATTTGGTGTGCTAAGAGGCAAAATACACCATGTACTATATGGCTTTTCAGTCAACAACAAGCCACATTATACAAGAGTAGTTTTGCGATTATAATGGGGCTAAAATGGGGCCTGGAACAACAGCCATCATAATGTTATAGGGTAGCATATTTTTCACATTTTCACTGAGGCTGATTTAAATAAATTTACTGATTTGTAAGTCACTAAACCATAAGGCACATAATAATAATAAGTGAATCATGAACATAAATAACACTAGATGATAAACAACCAAGTCACTATCTTTACTATGTTATATTTTTGATCATTTTTTTCCTAATACTAAAAAAAAAAAAAAAAAAGACAGACATGATGGTATTTGGCAGGCTACACTAGCACAGCCTGGGCAATATAGTAACACCTGTAGCAGGATATTTATTCTGCTACACTGGGCATTCGCAGTGGAGCACAGTGATTAGGCAGTAGAAAAGGAGGTGGAGCTGAGAGAAGAAGAGAGGAAGGGGAGGGGAGAAAGAGAAGGAGGGGAGGGGAGAAAGAAAGGGAGAGGAGGAGAAGGAGGCGGCTATGGATCATAGAGGAAGACAGATGGGTGGAAAGCAGTCTGGGTAGCAACCTCTAGCAAAAGGTTAGATACTGGATAACAATTATAATTGTGTGGGCATCTTGTTATTTGAGCATTACCAAATATATAAATCTATTGGATAATCTAAGCATTAAGAGTCTTCATTCTACCAGGTACTGTTAGGATGACAGATATTGTCTGGAGTTCAGCAGAGCTTTGTGGATGCAGCATGGGGTACTGGCAGGGCCACCCCCCCACACACAATGGCCTATCATGGGTACCAGGGCCTGCACATCTAGCTAGCTGGAGCCCCAGTCAGCACAGAGGAGCAGCAGGAACACGGCAGCTGCCCGGGAACAAGCCAGACCAGGCACCATTTTCTAAATATCATCCCTACAAGACCATCTTAAAAAAGAAGTTCCACATGGTGGCACACACCTGGCACACAGAGGCAGGAAACAAAGGCCTTCTGGTAGGCTCAGGAGAAAAAGGATAAGGCCTTCAGGACTAACCTGGGAGGTAAGACACTGGGGTTCAAACACTGAGAGGAAGTGCATGTTCTTCCATAAACAAAAGCTTTGTGGTCAGCTTTCGCTGTTTCTTTACTTGATAATTTTAATTCTAATAATAAGGAGACAATTTCCTGCCATTACAGAATTTGTGGCTCAATGGAGGCTAATCCTAAATACACTCTGATATAATCTCACAGAAGGACAAAAGTTCCTAGGGATGTATTTATTGGAATTTAGCCCACCACTGAGAAACAAGACTATATTTATTTTTAACTGTTTACTAAATAGCATGTTATTAAATATATTCTACCTCAATTATACCTTATCATTAATATAAAAATCTGAAGGATATACAAAATTCCTAAAAGTTCAATATACTATGTTTTACCATAAATAACTACCAAGTATTCTAAACTGCCTTTTATTGTCTCATTTTAAAGTAACTACTATATTCAGATGTGGTGGTGCATGCCTCTAATCCTAGCACTCCAGAGGCAGTGGTAGGTGGATGTCTGTGACTTTGAGACCAGCCTGGTCTACAAAACATGTCCAAGACAGCCAGGGCTCTGTTACACAGAGAAACTCTGCTCCCACCCCACAAAAACAAAACTATTATATAATGCCATTTTATCAAAATATAAATATATATATATATATATAGTCACTAGTTTATTAATTTCTAAAATTACATTTAGCAGATGAAATGTATTAAAATTCAATAAAGAAAACTATATCCATTTCGATCAGGACTCAGTAAACAGTAACAAAACAAAGTGAACTTCAGTCTAGAATACATAAAAATGCTATGATAATCACTTACCAAAACTGTACCACATTAAGGAAGTGAAATTGCTATCTGAGGAAAAACCTTCAATTTTTACCACAGCAAAGGCTGAATTAGACCATAAAGGATAAACTCCTTAATACATCAACTATTAAGAATAAAATTAACAAACAAGAAACAGAGCCAAGCCTCACTACTCTCAAGAATGTTCACTGATTTTCTTTCTTTTTTTTTTTTTTTTTTCAAGACCATGTCTCACTACAGAGACTAGGCTGGCCTTAAAACTCAGAGAGATCCACCCACCTCTGCCTCTTGAATGCTGTGCTTAAAAGCATGTGCCACCACATTAGCCCAACCCACTGACTTTTCTATGTATCAAAATTCTAGGTATTTTATAGTTATTTAGGGACTAAGTGTGCAATTATGTCCAACATACATTTTCTATTTGCAAGGTTCACTTTGTCTAAACAAACTTTTGGTCAAACCCTGGAGCTGAAGCTTATTTGGTTTTGTTGCTTTTCCAGCACTTGCACGACTAAGATGAGAAGAGTGTATGGTCAAGACTAGTTACAAAACAAAAACAGTCCTACCTTCCATTCCCATATCACTGCATAAATCCATTCCCCATTGTTCAACGTCCTTAAATTTTCGCAATTACCAGAATTTCACTACATTCTCAATGAAAAAGTATAAGTAGAATACAATTTGCCAAAGTATACTATCATGTAAGTCAAGGTAACCTTTACTTTGTGAATAAAAACTCTATAGAAACATAAATTAAAAATCTACATTATCTTATCTAATAATCTCTGATACTGTAGATTTTTATATCTATATTTGTACTGTAGTGACTTATAAACATTCTCACCTTTATTATTCAAGCATAAAGTTCTTAAAATCAAAGCTCACTCTCTTTCTCACTATTATACCCCACTACCTTAAATATAAATCCCAAAATAAAAAGTGCCTAAAATATTGGCCTTCTATTTAACTATTTCATAATTTGACTTTTAAATGTAACAACTATCAAGGAAATACATTTACCTGTATAGCCCATAAATTTTCCAGGGATTTCTTGATTACAACAACGACTGCAGAAAATCTGCCCACACAGTCTGCAATGGTGTCTGCGCCGAAAGGTTGTGAACTTCTCACTGCAGTCATAGCACTCTTTACACTGGCTATCTGGCATCCAATATTGCTTCAGGTCACTGTCCTACAACAACAAAAATGTGTGATGACTTCTTAAAAAACAGTGAGTATTAAGTTGCAACGACAAATGAAATTTTAGAAGGTGTCTTTTGCAGATGACAAGCTAGTTCTAAAATTCAGATGGAATGCAAAAGGTTAAAATGATCAAGACAGAGCTGGGTGGTGCCGCACACCTTTAATCCCAGCACTTGGGAGGCAGAGGCAGGCAGATCTCTGAGTTCAGGGCCAGCAGAGTGAGCTCCAGGACAGCCAAGGCTACATAGAGAAACTGTGTCCCAGAAAAAAGAAAGAAGGAAGGAAGGAAGGAGTGGAGGGAAGGAAGGCGGGAGGGAGGGAGGAAGGGAGGGAGGGAGAGAGGGAAGAAAGAAGGAAAGAAGAAAGGGAGGGAGAGAGGGAGGAAGGAAGGAAGAAAGGAAGGGGAAGACAGACAGATTGATCGATCAAGACAATGTTGAAGAAACCTTGGACTTATATCATCTGCTCTCAGAACTCAGGCTAAAGCTACAGTAGTAACCTTAGACAGAGTATTAGTACAAGGACACACAGAATGGTCCACAGGAAAGAGCGGTGTCCTCACAAGTCTATGGACTTACGATGAGCTGTAATCCAACCACTGAAAGAAGGGCTTCCTAAAAACAACGTGCTAGGTTCACTAGACATTGAAAGGGACAAAAAGAAACTAGAATCATACTTATGAATAAAAATAATAAAGCTTACTGAAGAATATGTACTAACCTTGGCCTAACAAACTAACACCAAAACAAAATATAAAAAGACAAAGAAGAAAAAACAGACTACACAAAAAATAAAACAAAATTAAGAATTTATGTGTAAAACTCTGGTATTCACAATTAGAGGAAGTAATAAACTTTGACTTAGTGACAGTATGTCATGTCATGATCTCCATGAATGATTAATAAAAAAACCTTCCAAGGCCTCTCTTCAATACCTGACTTTTTCCTTCCATGATTTCCTTGAGGCGTTTCAATACTGTGCTGAGGCTTCGAAGCTGAACAGCTGTGCGTGGGTCATGACCTCCACAGGCTGGTTCCGCTTTCCTTCTGGAGTCTGAGTCAGATATTGTTAAAAAGAAAATAATTGTTTTAATAGTTTTAGCAACTATATCAAGCAGAGTGTGTGCGTGTGTGTGTGTATGTGTGTGTGTGTGTGTGTGTCATATAATACAAATCATTCCCATTGTTAGCATATATGTGTTCTCCCAGCCATTAATACTGACAGAGAATTAAAACTGATTTTTACCAAAAGTAAGTTGTTGAAAGTATATATTACATATAAACTACTATTTTACATGTACTTAAGTGCTATGTAAGAACTATCTGAAAAAATTAATGGTTTTGAGGGTTGAAATGGAAGCATCACTTACATGTCCAGAATTCACTAATGATTTCTTGCACACTTAATTCCCAACCAAATAAATAATAAACACCTCATAGACATGAGCAGAAGAAAAAATAATCCCAGAGACTAATTTAACTGTCTCCAAAAGACAAATAGGCAAGCAATAGGACCAAACTGTTCAGTTCTACAGCAGATCATCAGAAAGAAACTTGACAGACCAACAAACAAAGATCCCAGCAGGCTTTACAGGACATCCAGGATAGCAAAGTATGACCAATGAAGTCAAAGAATCAACCTAACTCTTCTTCATCCACACCTATACCCACCACCTCCTCAATCCTGAAATTCCACACTGGAAGAGATCATTTACATTTGAAATAACAATATGAAAGCAATTATATTAATAAAACAAGCCCAAATTTTAGCTTTGTGGCCAGAACGGAACATGAAACTACCATAGTTGTCACCTATTCTTATTTTAGATGAAAATTACAAGTGAAGTTTCTATTTATTCCTGGCTACAGCCGTTTCAAAATCTCAGGTTAAGGTGGATTGACAAAAAAAAAAATCCTTATTAATTAAAGCATATTAACCTAACAACCTGTGGAGTCTCCCTAATTTACATAATTCCTCCACATCTCAGTTTTACTTCCCAATGTTTCAGTTATCCTCAGTCACACAGTCTGAAAATATTAACATTTGTCTTAGCTCAAGAGAAACAGATCACATTCACATGACTTGATTATACTGCTATAACTGTGCTAGTTTAGCATTACTGACATTAATCTCTTAGCCAAATTTATAAATTAATTTATCACAGGTTTCAATGTATAGTGAAAAAACATTATATACTATGGCTTTGAAACTGCCTATGGCTTTAGTCATCTACTTGGGGATCTAAAAGGTATCTTCTACAAGGTAAGTTACTATAAAATGGAAAATATCACACCATCAATCTATCTCACTATTTACTAGTTTCCTACTAGGCATTTTGTTTTCATTGGAAGGGGAGAAAATAGAAATTATAAAGAATGAGAGACTGATGTATAAATCCAAATGCATCAAAACTTCTTACAGCAGGTAAACCGCTAAAATAACACCTCATCTAAACTACACCTATCTTAACTGCAGCATATATCTCAGATGTGCTGTTGCTAACATGTATTATAGCTAAATTTCTCTTGAGTCTCAAACAATGATTAAAAAACATACTCCATAATTGTAAGTACTAAAAGGAGAAACAAATCTCTAAGAATCGTAATAGCAGTGATCCCTGTCACGGCCAATAATAAATTATAAAGTTCTTTGCATTCAGCTGCTTGGAAGAGAAGGGTATCAATATCCTCCTCACTGGGAAAGAATGAACAGTTAGGCCCTGCTTGACCTCAGTGAAAGAAAAGAGATTGATGCCCTAGACACATAACATTAGCTACTGTTTTGTAAAATGGATGCTAGAAAATCAAGTAACTTCCCTAAGATACGAGAACTACCAAACTGTAGAAGTACAGCTGAGGGAAAAGTGTATTTGACTAAGCAGTCCCAAACTTCTTAAGTTCAGAGGCCTCCAAGGTAAAATCCAAGAATTGGACTGGATTAAACAGTAGGGAATGTGGGAACCACAGTGAAGGAGAAAAGCCAAGCTCTGTCTATGCTCAAGTTTATCTTAACAACGAAAGCAAGTGTTGGCGAGCTACAACTCTGTAACCCCTAGCAGACTGGATTCTAGTCCAATTCCTCAATTTTAAGAAATTCAGACTGATCTTTGGCCCATTTTTCCTCCCTTTGCAGCCAAGGATAGCTTGGCATTGTATGAAAAACTAAACACTGAGTTCAGCAAGGAAAAGGAAATGAAAGCTTTTAGGCATCTAATGTTTTAATTCAGCATGGAATTTAGTCAGAAGAGCAAATATAGTACAGTGTTGCCTTGGGTCAGGTTCTGTAGCTATGATTCGTCTTTTGCTACTTCCTCTAAGATAGGGTGTCTCACTGTGTATCCTACACAGGTCTAGAACCTCCTAGTATTTACTGGCTGGCTTTAAATTTGCAATTCTCTTGCCTCATCTTCCTAAGCCATGGGTCAGGTTTACGAACTAAGGGAAGTTTAATAGGTTGAGGTTAAACTTGGATAATCTGGGATGAATGAAAATCTTCTGCCTCTATCTCCCAACTCTCCCTTTCAAAATGACATGACCTGAGCTGAGGTGGCTGCCCTAGGTAATGTGTGGGGGTGACACCGCCAGCTCATTCAAGCTCTTCAGCAAAAACACCTGCTCTTCTACTAGCTTCTTCCTCCTTCTTTCCTCCAGAAAGAAAAACCTCAACAAGCAGTAAAATACCCTTCTGCCAACCACCATTACACAGCTATCGTTCACTCAAGTATCTCGTGGAAGTGAGTGGCCAGACAAGACAGATACGGACAGGGTTTAGGAACTTGTGATTGATTCCCAATGTACTGCCTCTCCTCTCTATGGAATCACTGCCTCTGCACTTCTAGCATCTAAATGTGAACAAACTACTTCTCTGAGTTTAACAATCTAACAAATAAAAAGTAAACCACCTGCAGTCCCTTAACTGAACACAGATTCCCAGCCCACACCCATCAGAAAAGCATGGAAATGAATGAGGTACCACAAGATGGAAAACAAGCAAACAAGCAGAGCAGTATATCCAGCCACACTGACAGTGTGTACCCCAACAAAGACAAAGGCCAGCAGCAGTCAGCAGCCCACCAATGGAGTTTGACAGTGTTCTGCAGCCAGTGGCATGCACATCATACTTCATTAGCATCAAAGCATAAGTGCAGAATCAATCTATAAAGTTTCAACTAACCTGTGCTCTCCTGAGGATGTGGCAAAGTGTTCTCTGCTGAAACCCAAGCAAGTAATTAATCAAAATGCAATCAAGACATCAGTGCTTGCATAATCAAAGTTTAATGACATGATGAAGAATCTTTCAAGAGTTGAAAAGTTTTATCACCTAAGTTTTATTTATTCTAAAGAGTACTTGACTGTTCAAGTAACAGAAACATTAACTCAGCATATCACCTAGAAAACACAAAGATGAAAATCCACACAAAGTGAAATAAGAGAGCTGTTTTACCTAACACTGAAGAGCGCCGGTGGAGCTCCTCATTAAGCTGCTTTTTATAAGGTACAGGCGACCTCACAGACTGTGTCCTTGAAGGGATCTGAGGGCTGGACCAACCTGAACTTGGAGACGGCTGCTCTCCTTGGCCCCCTTCTCCTCTCTCTGTGACAAAGGAAATGTGGTATTATTTGAAAAACTAAGGCTCAGAGTTCAACAAGGAGAAGGTGAAAGATAAAATCCTTCAGGCAATATTCATGTATTATATTCATAACTGAGTATGTAACGCTCTTGCAAAGGACCCAAATTCAGTTCCTAACACCTACGTCAGAAAGCTCAAAATTACCTGTAACTAAGCCTCTTCTCACCTCCTCAGGTACTCACACACTTGTACATAAAACACATGCATACACATAACTGAAAATAATAATTTTTTAATTTTTAAATATTTTTTTAAAAAATTAAAAAAACAGAATGAAATTCCATTCCAACAGTCACCTATTTTGTGTACATGAAATATGTGTTTTGCTTTTCATTTGTAAGATTGTGGACATAATAAAGGAAACAACAAAAGCCTCACATAAAATCTTGACCTTTTAGATCAGTTTATGGGAGAGATCTCTTTGTATTACTGAAACAATACCCAGCATATTAGGTTCTTTTTAAACCTTCCTAAATACATAACTTACAACAACTAAATGTAAAATGTTATCCTCAATAACAAAACTGTTAATAAAATTGAGCTAGTACTATTAAAATTTCTACTCAAGACTGGTGTAGTGGCACATACCTTGAATCCCAGCACTAAGGAAGTAGAGACAGGCAGATCTCTGTGAGTTTGAGGCTAGCCTGGTTTACACAGTAAGTTCCAGGGCTATAGAGTAAGACCGTATCTCAAAACAAACAAACAAAATTCTACTGAGTAAAACTACTAAATTCCTAAAAACAAGTTCTATCTTCTAACATATTTCAAACAATAATGACAAATAAATCAAGCATGGTAACTCATGACTGCAATTGAAGCTCTCAGAAGACTAATACAGAAAAATAGCCTCATGGCCAAAGTGACACAGTGTTTCAGGTTAGCCTAGGCTAAAAAATTGACCTTTTGTTTCGGGGGGAAAAAAAGCAAATTAAGAGCAAGATATGGCTATATTTTAAATTCTGGTTAAAAACAATGAACATTATATTCAAGAACTCATCCTTTAAGTTATCTGTTCACTTCTTATCATTTACAACTCAATCCAATTGAGTGTTAGTCCCAACATGTCTGCTGTCAGCTTCTAAGTTTTTAAATATATATACCATATACTGCTGTCTAATATTATTGCTTCGAAATCTTTTTATTACCAATGCCTCCCTCAAAACAAGTTCACTCTATAAGCTTAAGTCAAAGCACACTGATAGAAAATATGTGGAAAAAATGCTTTCTCATCAAAAAAGACTTCTCTAGCCATTTTAAATTCAATTCACACAAATAACTAATCAGATTACAGTGAAATGCTATTTTTCCTTCTTAGACAGAAAAACTTGATGACCTGAGATTGAAGCCACCACCTTGTTAATATTTCACATCCTCGCAACCACACAGCAAGACATAAAGAAGCGAATGCAGAGAATCCAAACTGCTTCTTTGAGGTTTAGAATGAAATCTTACCTTTGTTAAAACGAAAAAGATTTACAAAAGAACTATATGCTGACTTGAAGGGGGGCTCATCCTGGTCAGGAGTCAAGGGTTTAAAGTGAGTAAGGTGAGATGGACTGGCGGGAGAGCGAGGCAAATCATTAGCAGAGTCCAGTGTTGGGGAGCTCTTGTCATCTGTGGCCATTTCATGAGTCTGAAAAGAAAGGCGGTAAGGGAAAGAGATTCCTTAGAACAGGACTGAAGAACAGGCAAATATCCCAGACAGCCTCCCTGTATGATAATTCTTATCAAAAGCACCAAAGAGTAAGGAAACCTATGTCCAAATATTCAAATTCAGGCTTATAAAACAATGCTGTCTAAGTGAAAAGAGCCTCGACACTAAAAACCATGGTTATGTGGCTGAGCTAATTTTAAATTTACTGTTCTTATTCCCTCTACAATTAAAGTTACTTTAAAATCTGCAAGTAAGACATAAATATGAACTGACAAAAAAAAAATTCCCCATTACTTATAGGTGTCCAAGGATTTCTGTTAAAATACTAACAGCTTTTTAAGTGGAAACTGACTTTATATAGCATAAGCTATTCAGCCTTATTTTATGTATGTATCTCAGGAAAAGAAAATCAGTCACCTTGTATGCTATGTCTATGCAATCTGAGCAAATGGCTTTGATAATGCCTGTGACAAATACTCAAAGCAACAAGCTACCTGGTCTTTCCTCTTAGGCACAGGAACTTGGGATTTCTACAACCACTTTGTAAGCCTAAGTTCATAAGATATTAAGGTATGACCTTCTTAAAAGGTATTTTTGTTTATAAGTAACCAAGAAGCATAACCAGTCAAAGTAGTAAATCTAGTCACAAAATAAAAGTTACAGGAAGAGACTGAGGCTCATTCCCCCTTAGATTGAAAGTTTAAAGAGAAGTATTTTGCTGTGCTAGCAAAAATGCTAAAGTTTGTAATCTATCTATACTTTACAAAACAGGGCATTATATTCTTCTAAAAATATTTTCTCTTTCAAAATCACATCTATAGGTTCATTTTATGTTTACAACACTCCCAGAAGTCACATAAGTATTATTACTATACTTAATAATTGAGGTAACTAAGGTACACTGAACCTAAAATGGTTTTCTTTTGGATAGCTCAAAGAGAGTAATAAGTAGACATGTGACTACACTTCAAGTCTTATGACAGAATTCTCCAACAGTCTGCTATCAAAAAAAAAGAAAAGAAGAAGAAATTGTATTCTTCACAGACTTCCAATTCTAGCCAACTATATTCTCTTAGTACTCAAGATTCTCTCAGATTAGTACATTAAAACAGAAAAGAAACCACTGACTTGGATGGGATTTTGGCAACAAGTGCTTCTTGGAAAGGATGGGGAAGAAGGGAAAAGAGGAATGCAATGGAGTAGGGGAAAGAAGAGGAAAGGGAAGAGAAAAGTCAGGGAAGGAGGACCTCTAGTATCATGTATTGTCTCAGTCAGAGTTACCATTGCTGTGATGAAACACGGTGAACAAAGTAACTTCTGGAGTAAAGGGTTTATTTAGTTTACACTTCCACAGCATTGTTTATCATCAAAGGTGGTCAGGACAGGAACTCAAGCAGGGCAGGAACCTGGAGGCAGGAGCGGAGGCAGAGGCCATGGAGGAGTGCTGCTTACTGGCATGTTCCTCATGAACAAGTGCTTAGCCGGCTTTCATATAAAACCCAGGACCACCAGCCCAGGGACAGACACCACTCACAATGGGGGCAGGGCCTTCCCCCATCAATCACTAATTAAGATGATGCCCTACAGGTTGCTTACAGCCCATCTTATGGAGGCAGTTTCTCAACTGAGGCTCTCTCCTGTCTGAAGACTCTAGCTTGTGTCAAGCTAACACACAACTATGATTCTACACCATAAAGGACTAAGATAAGATGGTGACTGATCAAGTAAAAACTCAGTTTTGTTTTGTTTTAAAGACCACCAGAGAAAAAAGATGCAATGGCAATGAAAACCCTCATGCTTCTAAACAAATCCTATTCTACTTGGACAAAAGTACCAATAAAAGCACAGAAACCAATCTACCTACAGAGTCATAGAATTACTTCTAAAGGTCTTCCATATCCACAACTTTTGTTAAGCTTTGGACATGTGAGGGTAAAAAATTACCATGAAACACACATCAAGTGCAGTCTCTAAAACATAAACACAACCACATAGACTTAATCTTAATAATTACATGCCAGCAGCATCCAAAAAAATTACAACTCCGATTTTTAGCAGCATAATAACTGTTTATGCTGTAAAGGATGGCTCTTTCTGCATACATAATTAGAAATACTAACCTACTTATCCAACAACTTCTGCATTGTCTCTTTTTAACCCAAAGCTAATGTGGTTTATGCAGATTTGAAGTAGTTTGGTGAAGCAAATCAGAAAATGAATCCTATGTTAAAGTGTAGGAAATAACTTGACCTATTAACTCATAGGAAAATTGTAGGTGAAATTCCAAACAGCAGCACAGTCATTTTCTAGGGTCAGTTTTTCTCTTAAATACAATTCTCAGACTTTTATCTATTAATGCAGGACAGCTGAATACAAACAATGTTAGCTTCCATCAAGAAAGGCTTATTGTTCATTTTTTGACCCATGCACCACAGAAACACTAAAGGAAAACCAGTGTGATCCATGTAATTTTTCCACAAAGAGGTAAAGGGTGGGAGAACACTCAGGAAGTTAGTGTTGCTTCTCAGAAAAGTCCTGACCTTTGTCACAAGCCTGAACCTAATGAAGCGAAGAGAAAGAAACTGTTTTCCCCCTTGCCGCCACCCCACACGTGTGTCTGTCTCTGTCTCTCCCCCCCCCCCCACGGGGAGGGGGAATGGGACAGAGTGGGAGTCCTGGAGAGGCAGAAAGAGATTCAAATAAATGTAAAACAAGACGGTGCGATTTTGGGGGGGGCCTACCTATACCAACACAAGATGCACAGAACGAAGTCGCAACCCTTCATCATTTAACACATTACGAAGGTAAGATACACAGCAATAACCTGCTTTTATGCAGAATTTGCATCTTCCCTGAATGTCCTAAGAACCTAAATAGGACAGAAGACCCTAAATCCCTAAATTTCACTTTCAACCTTTCTTGGGAACCTCTTGGGAAAGGGGAAACGACTTATTCGGAAATAAAGTCTCCTCAAAAAAGGACTACGTTGAAGTTTTTAATAAAAAAAAAAAGCCTCAAATGGCAAAAACCAGCATTTAAACTGATGGACACACTCAAGATTGGAATGATTTCTCTGGGTAGGAACTTTCTTTTCCAGACTAGGCAGCACCCCTGAGACTTAAGCTCACCCGCTCAGAGGAAGAGATGACATGGTCCACCTCCGAAATAAGTTCGGACATTAGGAAAACAGAGAGGCAAGAGAACTTCCATTGTGTCGAGGAAGCCTTTGCAGGAGATGGCCCAGCCAACCCGCGTCCGGTCTCGCCACACAGGGCCGGCGGGCGCTCAGAAGCCAGCAGGTTCCCGTGAGGTCTTTCCCGCTCCGTGGCCGAGCCTCGGCCGCAGAGCCCCTGGCGGTCGCCATCCCTCCAGCGGTGCTCCGCGACCCACGCCGGCCTTCCTCCCACTTTGCGCCCTGCCTGCCCATGCTTCGCCGCCTCCCTTACCTTCGCCTCCCGCCCCGGCCCCGCGGGCCTCCCGCCTCCGCGGCCTCCGCCTCACCACTCTCGGCCGAGAAGCCGTAAGCAAGCGCAGCGCCAGCTTTCTCAGGCAGCCGGCGGTCGCGCCGAGAAGCCCACAGGTTTACGCTGTAACTGCGGCTTCTCGCTTCCGCCTACCATCTCAAGGCTCCGCCCAGTACCCCTTCCAACCAATCATCAACAGGCCCCAAGGGCCGGCTCCGCCCACTCCTCGCCGCCCAACGGACCTTCCGATCAGATGTTCAGGCAGAAAGAATCCAACCCAGAGAGTATCGTTCTAGGCCCCCCAGAGGAATTACCGCTGCCTCAGCCTTCCTGAAGGAAGCAGGGAGGACAGCGCATGTGAGCATCACGCGCGCCAGGCAGTAGACGCCAGCTGGTTTGCTGTTACCGTATGTGTTCAACACTGTGAGCACTCATAATTTAGGACAGCTCTCTGAGCTCACTTGGACCGACTTCCACTTGTGTAGCCCAAAGAGAAGAGGTGGTTAGCTTTCAGGGTACTTTCGGACTCCGCTAAAACCAACTATGTGTCTTTGAACAAATTGCTTATTTCTCTAGGCCTCAGACCTCTGGTGGGTAAAGGAGGGTTAACTATAGCAGCGTTCACCCCCTGTTGTCTTGTTGTTGTTGTTGTTGTTGTTAAAGGAGAGTTAGTTATAGCAGCGTTCACTCCCTGTTGTCTTGTTGTTGTTGTTGTTGTTGTTGTTAATGTTTTTGTTTCAGGATTAGGTAGAACAGTGCATGAAAGGCAGTCGGCACAGAGCCTGACCCAAGTGATGTTGACTATAGCTTTTTTTAATTCGGGTTTTGTGTTGCAGATAAGAGTTATCAAGCCCTGACTTGATCAGCTTGGTAGTAACATGACCCGTTATTTTTGTCCTGCCAAAAGGGCTGTGCAGTTAAAAGTAGAAAACAAGCTAGGACCTGCTTACTGGAAACGTAGGGCTTTGCAGGGGAAAATTGAAAGGAATCTGAAGGCTAGTGTTATTCTGAGAATTCTTTTCCTTTAGAACTTTAGCATTTCCCACCCAGCTTTGGTTTGCTTTGGTTTGGTTTGGTTTGGTTTGGTTTGGTTTGGTTTGGTTTGGTTTGGTTTGGTTTGGTTTGGTTTGGTT